CCTGGGCGACAGAGCGAGACCCTGTCTCGAAAGAAAGAAAGAAAAGCAGCCATGGGTCCTGGGCAGGCTCCACTTCAAACTCCTGAGCTTTGTTTGGTTTTCCTGCCTCACACACTCTTGGGCCATGGGGCAGTGGCTTCTGGCATAGCCTGCGGTGGTTGGGAGAGCTGGGCTAAGGCTTCTTGGTGCAGCCCTATCATCATGAAGTGGCGGAAGGTTGAGGTGGCAGGTGGTAATGTGCTGAGCCTCTTCTTGGTGCAAAGGGTCTGTTTCTGTCACTAGCATCAGATTGACGTTTTTTTTTTTTTGGCCTAGAGAGATGTAGAAGACAGCTCAGCAGAAAGAAGCCTCAGGGCCCAGATAGAGCTATCCCTCCTTGTGCCTTTCTTGCCTCTTCTTTTCCTCTTCTTTTTCCTTCCTCCACCTTATTTCTTTTTGAGCCCTACTTACCCTCTCTTCTGCATCCTCCCCAACCCCCAATCCTTTGTTTTTTTCCTCACTGTTGCCCTTCTTGAGAAATTCTTGTATTGCTACTGTAGTGCGCAGAGCTTGGGATTGAACCTGTTTTCTGTGTTTTTAAAGGGAACTTGCAGTAAAAAGTAGGGCATCTAAAATAGGGAGACTAGACATCTTGAAACTGTCCCCTCTTCTCCATTCCCACCCCAAGTCATAAAGAATGAAATCTAAACTCTGGCCTTGGCCACAAGGCTCATGCAGTCTGGTGCCATATCACTTTGCTGCCGTTTGTCAGCAGCAAAGTGCTTAATACCCGCTGTTTCCCTGTGTTTCTGCCCAGTAGGAGGTTCCCTGGATGTGCCAGGCTGTATCATGACTTTGACTACAGACAGTCCCTGGTTTACAGTTTGACTTACTGATTTTTTGACTTTATGTTGGTATGAAAGTGATATGCATTCAGTGGAAACTGTACTTGGACTACTCATACAACTAGTCTGTTTTCATTTTCAGTACAGTATTCAATAAATTATATGAGCTATTCAACACTATATTATGAAATAGGCTTTGTGTTAGTTGATTTTGCTCACCTGAAGGCTAGTGTTAATGTTCTGAGCATATTCAAGGTAGGCTAAGCTAAGCTACGGTGTTTGGTAAGTGCATTTTCCCAGCCTGGGCAACATAGGCTTCATCTCTTAAAAAAGCAAAACAAAACAAAAAGCCTAGCTTGTGTAATGGGGCATTCCTGTAGTTTCAGCAGCTACTTGGAAGGCTGGGGTGGGAAGATCGCTGGAGCCTGGGAGGTTGAGGCTGTAGTAAGCCTTGATTGTGTCACTATACTCCAGCCTAGGCATCAGAACGAGACCTTGTCTCAAAAAAAAAAAAAAGACTTTCAACTTACGATATTTTCAGCTTACAATGGGCTTATTGGGACGTAACCCTGTTGTAAATTGAGCAGCATCTGTATTTCCCCTAAGTAGAAATCGCCTTATCTTCTTATCTCCTTTACCTGACAGACTCCTATTTATCTTTCATATCAATTTCAATGCCACTTCTTCAGGAAAACCTTCCCTAATCACTACAGAAGCAGAATTAATTTTGATCAAATAAAATACAGGATTTATAGCAGACCCTTTGACTTCTAGGACTGCTGTAGTTGTACTCTAGTGCTGTATCACACCCAAATCCTCTCTCGTTCATTAGATCTAGACATTACAGACCAGGGGATAGTGTGCTACTTACCTGTATTTCCCTTGTGTCTCTGAAATAGGCTTGGCACAAATAGTACTTGCAAAATGAATGATGGAAATGTGTATGCATTGATACTCATAGTATAGTTTGGTGTTAAGTGCTACAGATGAAATATGACAAAGTGTGCTTTGAAAGAAGAGGCTAAATTTGGGGGTGACTAAAATCAAAAGAAATTATTGACTCGAAGGTCTCTGTTTTGTAAGAATACGTAATTAGCTTAAATAAGCAGCAAAAGGTTAGTTTTAATTATGTAGTTTCTGTTAATAAGTGTTTTTGTCTGTTTTACCTCAATTTGAACAGGTAAGTTTGCCTGCCTGCTGGACTTGCCTCAGAACACATGAATAGCCCGTACTAGATCTTGGGAACGTGGATCTTAGCGTCACTTTGGAATACGTTTTTATATAAATACCCCCAGCCTTTTGAGAGCAGGGCTTATTAAAGGACGCATATGTAGGGCCAGTACCTACTGGCAGTTGGATTCAGAGAAATGGGATTGACGTTTTAAAAAGCAGTCGGATTCTTAGCTCTTGAAACTATTGTTAACTTAAATTTCCAGTAATTAAAAATTTTAAATTTTAAAATTAGAATTGCCAATACTTTGACCTTTGAGAAGGGTTTCTTAGAAATAAATTTAGTAATGTCCTCAAGACGTTAGTCTTACATTTAAACTTTTTTCTTTAAAACTTGGTATTGGTTGTTAACTTTTATACAGTTCTGAGTACTGTTAATATCTGGAAAGTATCTTGAGATATCAGTGGAAAGCTAAACAATCTAAATTTAACAGGAAATACTTCTTTATGATTCAGAAAATAAAATCAGATTTTTTCAAAGTCAAAGAAATATGACAAAGTGCTCTGGAAATTTACTGGAATTCTTGAGAGAGAACTAACTGGAAGAAATGTTGGAAGCTTCTAGAAGCTGGTAGCATTTGAGCTTGTCCTTAAAGATTCAGCAGTTCAGTTGGCAGAGATGGTGGGAAGAACCTTCTAGATGGAAGGAATGGTTGGAGTAAAAGTAATGAGGAAATACAGAAGTCAGGCCCTACCTGCTAATCTACCTGTCCCCCTTATTCAGAATTTCTGTCAAATGTGTGCTATATCTCTGTGGGCCAGCCTAAAGGAAATTTACTTTTCTTCCTATTCTTTCCTTCCCTTCTTCCTACCTCTTTTGTCCTTTTTGCCTTTTATTTTTTGTTTCTTCTCAATGTTTCCCTTTTTTTTTTTTTAAAAATCTCCCCATTTCTCTAGTCCTTTAAAAAAAACCAAAAAAACAAAAAACTTTATTTACCTTTCTGTACCTACTTCTTTTTTGCACTCTTCCTAGGTAACCCAAGAAATCCAAGCCTTTGGGTGGAGATGTGAATCAGCCATACAATATTTAACTCCAAATAACACCTCCCCTTGTGAAGCTGAGAAGTAATTGAGTCATAATTGCTTCTCATCTGTCTCTTGTGTTTTATTGGCATAGACTTTTTTTTTTTTTTACCTCCCACAATGCTGGGGGTGTCATTATCATTTTATTTTTCATAGTTGTCAAAATGTCAATTTTAATGAGAAATTTCTGCAGATAGGTCTGCCCTTGAGTGGTAGGAGCCTTCAGGCAAAGCCAGGGCTAGATGAATCAGAAATGTTCATGGATCTGTTTTCTCATGCATACAGGTGTATAGGCCACACAGAGACAGACATACACTTTTCCCCATCCCTGCAGGCTCAATGCTTTGCAACATGTGCACACACACACACACACAATTGAGTCATGATGGTGCATATATGTTCTCTCTTCTATACATATTCAAAGTATCTCCCTTACACTTTCAAGCCATCTATTCCTTCTCCTCCCATATGTGCACATATTTACCCTCTTACACCCCTGTCCCACTGTCTTCTACCCAGATACCCAGAATTGTGTGTGCTACAAAAGTATCTGCAAGCCTAACGCAGACACCACACTGTTCACTCCCTTACATATACACACAAGTCCTCCCCTCCATACATGCCCACATATACTCAGACATCTCTACCCATGCCAGATGCCGCACACCGAGTACCACAGCATCCTCCACATTTCTTTATACCCAGGTGCTATCACCACCACCCCTTAGGGTGGTGTATCTTCATAACAGACATTTTAGTTTCAGACTAGTTTTGAAAGGAAATGTTCTTTTCTGACAGCCAAGCTAGCAGACTGTTAGGAAGTTGGAACCATTTATGACAGATCCTTTGGATTCAGGCCCCTAGTATAATGATGGGGGTAGGGGAGGACTGGATCAGACAACAGTGGGCTACCTCTGTTACTGTTTATGACCCAAGGTGAGTTTGAACCTGAGTTCACTACTATTGGAAGGCGATCCCATACTTAGCACAAGAGAGCCAAAGCCACTGCATGTGTTCCAAATCAGAATCTCTGGGGTCTGGCATAGAAACTGATGTTTTTAATGAATTCCCTGAGTCCTTCTGTTGTGTAGCCAGGTTGGGAAACACTTATCTAGAGAAAGAACTAGAAGTAAAAAGATATGCATTATCTTCTGATACCACCTTGGATAAGTTTCTTTTCTGGACCTCAGCTTTCTCCACTGAAATATAAAAAACCTTTACTCATAAAGGACCCTTTCAGTTCTAAAATTTCATGCTGCTTTATGATGAATTTAGTCTGGGATCTTTTTCTACCTCATGGTGTCCATTCTCTGTGTCTGCCTGGGGCAGGGCATTTGGCCAGAGACCAGCGAGGCAGCCCAGGCCCTGACCTTCTGCCAGAAGCACTGACACAGCTCCTAATTAGAAATGGATCAATATGGGCCTGCAGCCAGGCCTGGGGAGCCTGGGAGGAGGCTGGAGTCGTGCTCCTAGGTGAAGAGAATGATTACCATGAAATGGATCTGGTTGTACTTGTCAATACAACAGTTCTGCTGGTGTAGCCCACCTCCCCTGGGGACCAGCAGGCAGGGCTACCCTGAGCAAATGGGGAAATGGTTAACTTGTATCCGTATTTGATGTGTTTTCCTCACCTTTTAAATTCTTACCTAATGTGATGCTAGGTACATAGTATAGGCCCCCTTTTCAGATGGAAAAATCACTTATTGAATACCTACTAAGTGTTAAATACTGAGCCTCATTGTGTTTATTTCTCCTTGCAACCTACTGACATAGGAGGGAAAGGAAACTGAAGCTCAGAAAAGTCAAAGTGAAGTGACTTGGCTGCCCATTGTCATATAGCATAATCTCTATTGTACTATGCTATTAATATATTTCTGAGCGTTTGCAACACCGATTCCAATCTGATGAACTGTTTTCTACCAGGGCCCTCCTTTAACCTTCTACAGACTGAACTGGAGCTCAGGCTGTCTCCCTGGAGCTGTTCAAAGACTGGAGGAAATTCTTTAAAACCTGTGGTAAGGCAGGTGTGGCGGATGGGGAGGGATGCTCTGCTTGCTTTTGCTTTCTCATCTCCTTTCCAAGGTCCCTAAGGAGTGAGCAGGCTCTAATGGGAGAGATCAGTCATCATTTGGGATCAATGAGAAGGTTTTCTCCTCTATGGAGTGCAGAGTCAGGTTTCTGAACTGGCCTTGTGCAAGGAGGGGGAAGGGGTTCATAACTTGGATGCATTGGAGAACCTGCAGGCTTAACATGCTCAGCAGCCAGTGTGATCAGACCAAATTCCTCCTATAGTTGGTCGTTCAGCAGATACTTGTTGAGTGTCTCCTGTGTGTCAGGGCTTGTGCTAGTGCTGGGGATTCTTACATGACCTCACAATCTAGCATCAGAGTCAGACAGAGATACAAACCACAGTATAATGTATGTTCCTTAGAAGAGTGTATAAGGGATTCTGAGATTCCAAAGGCATGAATGGGGGTTCTCCTAGGGGATATAATTTTGATCTGTGTTTTGAAGGAAGAATGAAGAGTAAGAGTTAAGCCAGGAAGGGCACTCCAGACCAGGGAACCAGCACAAACAAAAGCATGAAGATGTGTCTGGGAATTCTTGATAAAAGGGTGGGCATTAAAGCAGTACCTAACATGCAGCAAAGCAGATTGACTGCCCTGAGCCCTTATCCTTTGCCAGATTTAAGGCTGTAGTAGTAGCTATTGGATGGCAGTAATGCAGGAGCAGCAGGTAGGGAGGAGGAGATCGATTTATTAGCAAGTGCCGACTGAAACTTATTTCTAGACTTCTGTGGGGAAGAAGGGAGGAAGCCTGAAGAGCAGCAGCCCTCTGTCCTCTGGGCCAGACCTGCAGAGGTGTTGTGGTTCTTGGCAGTGGTTTGAAAGTTCATCTGGTCCAGGCAAATAGCTTTGCTTCTCATGGCAAAGTCCTCTGCTTCACAAAGTCTGCCCCTCCTTTCTGTGTTCTTTTAAAGAAAGAAATTAATGGAATCTGTTCAAAATACCCCTGAAATGAAATTACATTTTTAACTCTAATTACCCTAATTAAAACTTGACAGCCGTAATCCTGGAATGGCAGATATGCCTGGGACAAGCTCACTTACCCAGATGGAATGTTGTTCTGTTCTGGGTTTAGAAGAAAATTTCTTTCGGTGTTTTTTTTGTTTTTTCCATCAGCAGTTTAGTCTTTGACCCCACAAATTCTACAAGATAGGATAGCTGCACTTTTGGACTACAGGCTTGCCCAGGACCCCTAATCTCAACAGAGGTTCCTTTACATCCAGAGGTAGAGCTCCTGATGATTCTTACTACATACCTTTGAGTTTTTTCTTCAGTTGAGATTGAATTGCAGCCTTTCCCTCAGTGAAATCACCTGCCTTGGGGAACCAAGGATCTGTACTTGTTAGAAGGCTGTCTTCTGGTCTAGGGCTAAATACGTATTGGGGGTCAGTTTAGGGCTGGTACTTAGGATACAATTTGAGGCTGGGGACAAGGAGGTCTGAAAATAGGATCCCTTGGCCGGGCGCAGTGGCTCACGCCTGTAATCCCACCACTTTGGGGGGTTGAGGCAGGCAGATCACTTGAGGTCAGGAGTTCAAGAGCAGCCTGGCCAAGCTGGTGAAACCCTGTCTAGACTAAAAATATTTTTTAAATTAGCCAGGCATGGTGGTGGGCACCTGTAATCCCAGCTACTCCGGAGACTAAGGCAGGAGAATGGCTTGAACCTGAGAGGTGGAGGTTGCAGTGAGTCGAGATCGTGCCACTTGCACTCCAGCCTGAGCGACACAGTGAGACTCCGTCTCGGAAAAAAAAAAGATCCTTCTACTCTTCACATAGTTCCAGTTCCTTTAATGCAGCACAGGTGAGAGCAGCCTAGTGCGATGCCTGGTCTTGGCCTCTGCTTTAAGTGGTTACCTGGCCGGACCCAAAAACATGATGGGATGGGAGGTAGGGGCAAGCCCATAAAGCAGACTGAAGGGTTCTTTGATGCTGTGGGTCGTCTCATGGTTCTGCTAGAACCAAAGATCCCCATGTTCTAGTAATCTATTCGGCCTAGAAGCCTGTTCAGTAGGCAGACACTGGGTGCTCTGTTAGGTACTGCAAGGGACACAGAGTTGAGTAAGATACAGTCCCTGCCCTTGAAAAACTTAGAATTCTGGAGGAGTGGGGAGGTAGTGGTGGGTGAGGGACAACCATATACATAACAAATTATGTAAGCCAGGGCAAGCTTTATTCGGTAGATAGGAAGCTTGAGTGCCCACTGTGTACCAGGTTCTGAAAATAGTGTATAGACATATGAGACACAGTTCCTGTTTTTCAAGTACTTCCAGTAAATTAGATAGGCATGTAAAGGTTCACTGTAACACATATAAGTGGAGGATGTGCTGGACAGATTACCTGGGAAGGAGGCTAGTCAGGGAAAGTGAGGATTAACTCCCATGGGGGTGAGGGGGAGAATCATTGGCAAAGACTTCTCCCAGGTGTTGGCATTTGGACTTGTCTCTAAGTAGGTAATATTGGCAAAGGGATGGAGAAAGTCATCGCGGATGTTAGGGAACAGCATGAGGAATGGTAGAAGCTGCCAGATTACAACTCAGTGTAATTGGAGTGCAGTGTGCAGGAAAAGGATGTAGAGGATGGTAAGGGTAGAGTTTAAACCATCCTGTAGGCAAAGGGGATCCACTGAAGTTGCAGGACTGTGATAGGAATAATGAATTAGGCGACAGAGGTGATTGGAGACAGATTAGTTAGAACAGGTGTCAGCAAACTAGTGGGCCAAATCTAGCCCACTGCCTCGTTCATAAAGTTTTACTGGAACACAGTCACACTTGTTTGTTCATCCATGATTGCTTTTGCACTACAATGGCAAAGTTGAATACCACACAGACTATGGTAGCCCACAAAGCCTAATTACTATCTGATCCTATACAGAAAAAGTTTGCTGACCTGTAAGTAAGAAGGTAGTTATGCAGGTTCTGTAAGAGAAGATAAATATCAGAACTAGGCCTGAAATGGATTGCAGGTATTTGAAGAAGGGACATGATTTAGCAGAGAACACCTGTCTTACCTACCTCTCAAAACTTTATAAAAATCAAATTTACTGAAAGTCACTGTCTTTTTCTTTTTCTTTTTCTTTTTAATTAGTTTATTTTTTGTGAGACACAGTCTCACTCTGTCACCCAGACTGGAGTGCAGTGGCGCAGTCTTGGCTCACTGCAACCTCCACCTCCTGGGTTCAAGTGATTCTTGTGCCTCAGCTTCCCAGGTAGCTGGGATTACAGGCGTGCACCACCATGCCCAGCTAATTTTTGTATTTTTAGTAGAGATGGTGTTTTGCCATGTTGGCCAGGCTGATCTTGAACTCCTGACCTCAAGTGATCTGCCTGCCTGGACCTCCCAAAGTGCTGGGATTATAGGCATGAGCCACTGTGCCAGGCTGAAAGTCATCGTCTTAGTCCATTTTGTGCTGCTGTAACAGAATACCATAGACTGAGTAATTTACGAACAATATAAGTTTGTTTGACTCATGCTTCTGGAGGCGGAGAAGTCCAGGGCCCCTCACCAGGGGCCGCATCTGGTGAGGGCCTTGTTGCTGCATAAAAATGTGGCAGAAGGCATCACATGGTGAGAGAGAGTGGGAGGGCCGAACTCTTATAATAAACCCACTCTCAAGATAGCAAACACTTACCTGCAATAATGACATTAATCCATTCATGAAGGCAGAGCCCTCATGCCCTAATTTTGCCTCTCAGAGTCCCCCCTCTTAACATTGTTGCTTTAGGAATTAAGTTTCCAACACATGAGCTTTAGGGGACACATTCAAACCATAGCAGCCGTGGCCATAAAAGGATACTTGATACACAGGCAAGTCCTGATTTGTCTTTATTAGCTGTGTGACCTTGGGCCAGTCACTTAACTCAGAAGTTCGGGTGAATATGAGTAGAATAAAGAAAAGACTCATCAATCAGATCTTCCTCAGGAGACGGAACTCTTTTTTAAAAATTTGTTCTTTTAACCTTTCTTAAAATTTTTTTTTTTTTTTTTTTTTAAATAGAGACGGGCCTTGCTCTGTTGCCCAGGCTGATCCTCAACTCCTGACCTCCCAAAGTGATCCTTCCACCTTGGCCTCCCAAAGTGGTGGGATTACAGGCATGAGCCACCACACTCAGCCTTCTCTTTTTTTTTTTTTTTTTTCTTTTTTTAAATACAATGTCTCACTTGGTTGCCCATGCTGGTCTCGAACTCCTGGGCTCAAGTGTTCTCCTGTCTCTGCCCCCCAAACTGCTGGGATTATAGATGGGAGCCACCACACACAGCCTGGACAAAGCTCTTATTCTCTTCTCTATACCTTATACCTAACCCCTAGTTTTTAAGTTTGAGGGCCCTCTAGTGGAAAAGACAGATACCATAGAAAATTTGGAGAATTTCAGATTTGAGAATTTCAGATTTGAGTTGAGAAGTTGGGGATGGGTAGGCAGAAGGTTTTGATCACTCAAAGCAGCTGATGTTGTGGGTGGAGGGGCTTATGATACTTTGAGACACCCTATTCCTTTTCCCTCCATAACTGTTGACACTTGTTCTGTCCAGTTTGAACTTGTTTCTGCCCCTCAACTGCCAGAGCACATAAGGCCCCTACGAAACTAAAGGCTGGCTTTATCCCTAAGTCGCCTTTACCAAACAGTAACTGTGTGCCACTTGATATCCCTATGTGCCCCTCCCTGCCACTCTACTCAGCCTCCTGTGCCTTACTTCCTTTTTCCTTCAGCACTGTGCATCTGCCCTGAAGGATGGAAAAAGTACCATCTAGGGAGACCACAGTGGTGAGTTTTAAGCTCATTTCTGCCTTCAGTTTCCTATGTGACCTAAGACAATTCATTTCATGTCTCTGGCCCTTCTGTAGGATCCAGTACAGGTATCTTCAGCCACTTTTTGGGACTTGGGATTTCTTCTCTAAGGCTCCAGCTTCATAGCATAGCATTTTCCCCCCCAAAGTTCCCCTCTCTTTTCAA